TTAACTGACTATTAGCAGGTTGATTTTAACTCAAATTCACACTATGTCATTAACATAATGAACAGAAAAGTCTCCTATTGCAATTAGAGGAAACAACTAGGACACACATCACAGGAGCAAATCCCAGAAATTTCCTGGATATTGTCATTATAATATGAGAAAGCAAAGCAAATTTTTATAGTGAACAACCGTACTTTACAGAATGAGCAGAATCTGAGATTAGTCTGATTGATGCGATATAATCCACCAGGACAAGGAAAAGCAGACGAAAAACCATCCCTATCAGCTATCAAGAAATCATTGAGATTGACAGGCGAATCAATCATTCGCCTGGATGACAAATTTCAAGAGTGGTGGTTCTTCTCTCCGCAAACGCCCCAACAGGTTAAACGATCGACTCCCTCCGGCTATTGGAAGAAGACTGGTAAAGATCGGAATGTCAAGGCCAGAGACACCAACAGAGTAATCGGCACTAAGAAAACATTAGTCTTCCACATAGGTTGGGGCTCTGAGGGCGTCAGGATCAACTGAGTTGTAACAGCCCGAATTTCGACGTAATTCCGGGATCAATAAAATTGACAATATTTCGCATTTCATTTTAGTAAGTCTCCGCCTGCAGGCGATCACTCTCGGGATACTAACCAATGGGGTATGGCTAACTAGGAAACGGTATGTGGATCAGGGACTCGACAGTGAACGGGACACCGATCTCGAGATACGATGAGTGAATATTTTGGGCCAACGTGGGCTGATCTTAGGAAAGGTGATGGATTTGATTTGGCCAAGGCCAACGATGTACAATCGGATCGCAGATGATTCTGCAAGACCGAAAGTGCACGTGGCCAACCAGTCCTGAACCTGAACCGAACGATCGTGATCTTTGGAACTAATGATAATTTCTCATTCTCTCAATGATCGAGACCGTCGTAATTCGAATAACCCTAGGTCGATACGCGTATGTCCTAAACAGCCGCCCGTTAGTGAGAGACCCTGAAATTGGAAATTGAGCGAGTTTTGATCACGAAATTGGGCCCGGATTTCGATGTTGATTTTCGAAGGCTTAAGAGACTATTTTTGGGAATCTGATGTCATATTACGCTGGCCACACACGTTTGGAGTTAGTATGAGTAAAAAGTGGAATTTCGGTCCGGGGGTGAAAAATTACGGTTTTGCCCCTGTGGGCACCGAGGCTGGATTCGGAGGCCGTTTGAGGTTATTTTTCGCGTCCAAGATCATTTTGGGGTGGCCACGCACATTTAGAGTGGTTTTGGCCAAAAATTGGAATTTCGACAAAAATTGGAAAAATAATATTATTTTATTCCCGAAACTTCGCAATCGATTTTCAAGGGCTTAGAAAGTGAATTTCGCGAATCCGACGCCATATTCTGTTGGCCACGCACATATGGAACACGTATGTGCGAAAATTGGAATTTCGCCTCGGGACCGGAAAAATGACGGTTTTGCCCCTGGGCCGGTTTCGGGTCCGAATTTTTGGGAAATTTTTGGGATAAGTAACTGTGGTTATCAGCTGCATTATTGGCACCAAAGACCCAATTGCCCCTCAATTACTTAAGCCTATCTATTTAGAACCGTTAGATTAGGGGCGTTTTGGTTATTTTTCACGGATCGGCGACACGTGGCACTTTGGGCTGCTTTATTTGACCAAGTTGGACTGTTTTCTCTCTCCTCAGCCCTCCCTCACGGCAGAACCAGCCCCCACCAGCAGCTTCTCTTCCATTTTCCTCTCTTTTCTCAATTTTCTCTCTTGGTTTTGGCTTCGCTGGAGTTTGCCGCACCACGGAGCCGCCGCCGACCCGCCGTACCCCGCCGTCGACCACATAGTCCCCCAGCTTCAGCCTCGCCCTGTCCAGCCTTTTCTCTCTCCCTTTCTCCCTCTTTTTCTCTTTCCCGTCCGGCAAAAAGGGTCGCCGGAGCTTCGCCGGAGCTCGGATTGCTGTTCCGTCACCACCCAGCCGTCCAGCCTCGTTGTGCGTCACCATCCAGCCCTACCCATATGGGTCCGTACGGTACTATTCATCGCGTCCGTACGGATCACTGTTCATCTCGACCGTGCAGCCGTCGCGGCCGTCATCGGCACTTCGCCGGCCACCGTTTTCCGCGCCGTCCCGTACAAGTCCGTACCGCCGTGAACAGTACGATGTGAACAGTACTCCGTGAACAGTGCGCGTGAACAGTCGCGCCCCCCCGGGAATTCCGCCGCCGGTTTCACTGTTCATCAGTGATCGGCCGTCGTTCCTCGTCGTCGTGATCTTGGATTAAGTGAGTAAAATTCCTAAACCCGGATTAGGACTGTTAGTGCGTTTTTCTGGACTGGTTTAGGTATTATCGGTACAATTTAGACTGGCTTAGATGGTATCAGTGTGTATTTCAGACTGGGTTGAGGACGGATTGGTAGAAATTATCATTTGGAAATTTAGTGGATTAATGAGAATTATTTGGGGAGATTAATTGGATTAAATGACCAATTTAGGAGCCCGTTGGAAAATTATCGGGTATGTCTGGGTTGACTGATTGTACGTCAATTGTGCTTAATTGTGGTTGATTTCGTACTGCTATGTCGTATGTGGTGTGGCTGATTTTATGGAGTGCGATTGGCCATTGTTTGGTTTACAATGATTTACTGATTTGTGAATCGCACGTTAGGCCACGCGGTATTAATTGGGCCAATTAAGCACGTGTTGTGACATTGGGTGTCTGAATTATATTGGTGCTCGTGGTGCATTGCATTGCATAACATGGACACGCATTGCATATGCCAAGAGTGAGGCATGTGATGAACTTGCGCGAGAATGCGTGTCTGCCATGAGCATGTGATCACCTAAAATACCCCGAAGCGTTATACGCCGGTTCGAGATAATAATGAGTTGTGTGATCACCTAAGGACCTTTGGGTCATGACCTTCGGGCCGATACCGTCCTCATGCACTTTGAAGCGGGACGATGCCCGGTACGTCCGGAAGGCGACCATCCTCATGCACTTTGAAGCGAGGCTCTGTTCGCAAGGAGAACAGTGTTGCGCCTCATGCACTTTGAAGCAGGCTAGAGACACTGGGCCAGATCGGTTGCTGCGCCTCATGCACTTTGAAGCAGGCTAGACGCACCGGGCCGTGAAAAGTTGATGACTCGAGTCGTAATAAATAATAAATTAGGCGATTGCCAGTGTGCCAGTGTGGGCCAGTGGGCCGGGAAATACACGTGACATGTCGACGACATTTGCATGCATGAACATGCATGGACTGGCATGCGAGTGTGTGAGCCTCGGTGCATGAGCATGTGATTGGCGTACGTGTGATGATATGTGCCACGTACGTGCCGTGATTATTATATATTGAACTGCCTAACCTGCAGGGTCGGAGGATTAATTGATTATTGTTGCACTATGGTTTCACTTATTTATTTTCCGGTCAGGAGATTGCATGCTAGCCTAGCCTAGGTTTAGGGGTTGAACTCACTGAGATTCGTCTCACGGTTGTGTAAACCGAAACTTTTCAGACCCCCAGCCGTAGGATGCTGAGGAGAGCGCCTCTTTTGGTATACCGCAGTTCATCCAGCGGTCATCTAGTGTGCACCCTTGTGGGGACGGACCTGCAGCCATGGTCGAGGAAGCCGAGGAGCCGAAGTGTTTTTCATTGACCCCTTGAGTGGTGGTGCTGTGTGTTTCCTCTGCTGTTGTCTAAATGAATTGTGTAAAAAGTTTTCTTTGGTACTACTAGTATATATACTTTCAGAGGTGTTGTTTGCTGGTTGTGCTACCTTGGCCTCATGTATTTTATTGTCAGGGTATATATATATATATTCATATACGTACTTCCGCTTGTGCTTGATCTCTGTTTGGGTTTGGGTCGGCGACGCTTCCTGGGAGCGTTGCACCTTAATCGACCGTGACGGGATGTTGCGCTTCGTGGGGTACGGGGCGTGACATGGGTCATCCACGAATATCATCTACTCACCAAAGATGTACTCAATCTATCCCTCGTTTATTTGTTGCAATAGATTAGATTCACTAGATGCATGAACTTGATAACATATCGTATGAGAAGTATAGCTACAATAATCTGAAACACTCGATTATAAGTTTCCACGAGTCCTAAGGAAGCACAGAAGCATTTTTTTTCCTCGGTTTCTACTACAGAAGATGAAATCTTTTGCATATGTAGAGAATGATATTGTTTTTGCCAAATTTGTAAGCAGAATTTTACTGTTGATGATCCAATAGTATGAACTGGAATAACATGGTCTCGTGACAGTTGAATAGGAATTATGTTCTGTGTCGCTTAAAGTACAAACGAGACGAGAAGGCTGACGATTTGACCATAGAATTAGAGCTTGGAGCCGTTCTGGCGGATTTGGTTTCGGTTCTTCATCAACATGATCATGAGAACTCATTTCCTGAGGTGCGAAGGAAAACATGTTCTGTTTGTTCACTTAATATCTGTCTTAACGAGCGTGCAAAATGCGTTAATGACCAATCTTTTACTTGTAAATACAGTCTTTGATCCAAGCAATGATGAAGTCACTGATGGAGCCCTCATTTCAGCCCGAGAACCAACTTCAAGCTTTTTCACGTGAGTTCCTGCAGCTGCTTCAGCCTGCTTCAGTGAGCGGAGTGAGGTTCCAGGTCAAAATTCTTCCCTTGAAATTTCATTTGGTTGCTGCGATTACTTCTCGAGGAAATTTAGGCTTATAATGGTTTGAAATGCATCGGAAGGGCACTTCCCTTTTCCAGGTTATCTGAAATATAAGAATAATTTTCCTTCAATCATCTTTGTGTAGAATAGAAAGTTCATTATAGAATCTTTCTGCAGAAAACAAAAGTGGACTTCCGTGCTAAGTTACTCGTGCTTAATTACTTTCAATCATATAAGAACGTGGACAATTTAAAACCTAATCTTGAAGGCTTGTTATGAAATTAAATTTATGCCTCAGTTATTTCCTCTGATTCATATTATCTCATGTAATCTGTCGCTGCAGGGTGGCCCTCCAGTTCCAATGGAGTTTTGGCCAACAACAGAACTCCAGATGTCCATTGCTGCTGAGGAAAAGAAAGGTGTGGGAGAGAATAAGACCAACGGCTCACTTGTTGCCCCTGAGAAACCTATGCTGCCTCCCAGTGTCAAATGTTATGGCAAAGATGAAGAGCCGAGGTTTGAAAAGGTTAAGCAGGAAACTCCAGCCAAAAGTATCAAACCAGAATGCATATCTTTGGATGAAACAGCCACCGGAGCAAAGGTGAAAGCAGCTCCTGAACTAACCCATTGTGTCTTATTACTGTTCTTAAATGTTGACGTGCATTGCTTGGGTAGTTAATTAGATGGTGGGGATTCTGTTTTTGACTGCAGCGAATTATATATTGGATATGTGGTTCATAGGCACTTATGAAAACGATTAATTTTGTTAAAATCCGCTTCGAGAAAAACATAGAGACGATTCTAGCATTCTTCTACCAAAAGGAAGTGAAATTTCACTCTAAATTGCTCGTGCTTTGTTAACTTTAATTAAAATAGTAAGAAGAATGGTGAAGAACTACGAACCAGAAAACATATAATAAGGAAATTGCCACTGAGACATCGATCAAGGTAGAAGATGACTAAAAGGCTGAGTGTGATTAGAGCTTCCAGACAATTTGATAGTTAAAAGTCATGAATGTTTCTCATGAGATCAAAATAATGCCTTGGTTAGTTCCGTTGATCCATTTGATCTTATGCAATGATTTGTTGCAGCATGGCCAAATATATACTTTTTAGAATCACCAAACACCAACAATTGAATCAGTCCCTTGTGGTTTTCATTTTGAGGAAACGGAAGGCGTCATACAGAGTGAATTCAACAGCTCACATGTTTCCTCCGCCAAACCTATGGAGCTTCTGAAAGAGCCCGAGACTCCAAAAAGGGCAGAGTCTCCAAGAATTCATAGTGATGAAAAACAGACATTCGAAAAGTTTAAGAAGCAGGAATTTGCATTGAGAAATGTTAAACCAGAATGTGTATCTTGGGATGCATCTGCAGCCACAGCAAAGGTGAAAGAAGCTCCCAGTTTAACCGATTTGTCTTGCTATTATCTTCCAGTCTTGATGTGCCTTGTTGGACTATTTAGTTTGATTGGCGCGGTTCCATGCATTAGAAAAAACTATGAAAGTTCTTCATTAGAACATGTTGTCTTTTTCCCTATCAGCTCACTATTTGAAACATTTTATGTTGGCAGGTTCTAGAATACAAAGAGCACGTTTCAGCCGGTAGTTCACCATAAAGGACAAACAGCGAGGAGATTGAACATGCCCGAGAGAAATCAAATTTAGCGACTGCATTGGCCAGACCAACCACCAAGAACACAAAAAGTTCCACAAATCCTCCACTTCTTAATCTTGTGAACGTGCTCGTCGGGATTTTCCTGTTGATCGCCATCACTGCTATTTTCACTACTATTTTGCCCCAAGTGTGATACAGCATCATTGACAAGTACAAGAGTAAAAAATAATTCTGTATGTTGTGTAATAATTCATGATGTATAGAGCTAGTCTTCCTTTTGATGCCAATGCTTTGTAGTTTGTACTTAATTTTGCTTTAACAGAATTGGAAGATCTAATTAGATGTGCGACTGCTGTGAAACTTACTTTTTTCGTTCCCTGCTGTATATAATGGAAGAATCAACGAGCTGCCGCAGTGATGTTTCCTTTAAAAGTTAACTTGCAATCCATCTTTCCATGTCTTTCTTTAGTTTATCAAGCTCATTTAAGGATCGATTGCATGAGTTTGGTTGTTTTTGGAGGCACAGTCCATGGACGCAACATGCGAACTAATCAGTCTACATAGGACAAAGCCTACTTTATAAGAAGTTAAGATCTTTATATGTATGCTCAGGACAAGTAGAAGCGTTTGTCTTTTGCAAGATGAAATAATAGCAGCCAGTAGTAGCTCTGAGTCTTCCTAGAGTCACATACATGTATTCAGAACTCAAAACGCAAGAAACAACAAATGAGGACCGAGAACACATTTGACCCAACACTGATTGTTAATGGGTGAGGAATAGGAGAGAGCATATATTTAGAGGCATCAGTACATCGGTGACCTATATCAAGCCGCCCAACAAAATCCAAAACATAATTCGTGATGTGAGAAAAGGCCATGAACATATGGATCACCTTAAGACAAGGTCCACTGCACAGTTTCATATATGTAGCGACAACCTGTTTTCTTAGCAAATTACTATGACAATCACTGCATTTTCACGGGCTACTTTTCCGGGACTGCTAGAGAGTATTTAACTTGGGGAGACTTCATCATGTAAAGTCCCTTGAGACGATTCAAGGGAAGTAGAATGGTGTTTTGAGAGTGATCTAGCTATGTTTGTTTGAGCTTTAAAAAAAAGTACTTGTGCTATTGCGTTCCCTCCAAATTGGAGTGGTGTTAAGAGCAGTGTCTTTGGAAACACGGGGTCGTTAGAGTGATTTGGCCAAAAATGATGGGAATAATTTCAAGGTGATTTGTCGATTCTTCTAGAGAGTTGTCGATTCAAGATGTTTTATGGTAAAACGCTCACAACTCACACAACTTAAGAGAAGGAAATGAATAGGCATTTTACTTATTTTACCTTATTTCATCTTATTTCAATGATCACAATACTTGTCTTTATATAGGCTTGTTACATGACTCTTAATCTTACTCATAAATATATCTAGCATTTCAAGGAGATAGATTCCTAGGAATTCACAAACATCAAACTAGACATAGAAACACGTACAGACTCTTGAAACCAATATTACAATAAAGCCTTTCTCAATTTGTACACCAATTTTGGGAGTCGAACAAATATTGACATCGATAACGAAGTAGCCGATCGATAACCATTAAAATTGACAACTTGTTTAGTGAATTGATAACTTCTCCATTGAATCGATAGTAACAGCCCGAATTTCGATGTAATTCCAGGATCAATAAAATTGACAATATTTCGCATTTCATTTTTGTAAGTCTCGCCCGAGAGTTGATCACTCTTGGGATACTAACCAATTGGGTATGGCTAACTAGGAACGGTACGTGGACGGGGACTCGATAGTGAACGACACCGTCTCGAGATATGATGAGGGAATATTTTGGGCCAACGTGGGCCGATCTTAGGAAAGGTGATGGATTTGGTTTGGCCAAGGCCAACGATGTACAATCGGATCGCAGTGATTCGCAAAACCGAAAGTGCACGTGACCAACCGGCCCCGAACCCGAACCGAACGATCGCGACCTCTCGGAACTAGTGATGATTTCTCATTCTCTCAATGATCGGGACCGTCGTAAGTCGAATAACCCTAGGTCGATACGCGTAGATCCTAAACAGCCGTCCGTTAGTGAGAGATCCCGAAATTGAAAGTTTAGCGAGTTTTGTTTACTAATTGGGCCCGGATTTCGATGCCGATTTTCGAAGGCTTAAGAGACTATTTTTGGAAATCGACGTCGTATTACGCTGGCCACACACGTTTGGAGTTAGTATGAGTAAAAATTGGAATTTCGGTCCGGGGTGAAAAATTACGATTTTGCCCCTCGGGACGCCGTTGCTTTTCGAGGCCAAATGAGGTTATTTTTGAGGCCGATGCCATTTTTGGGTGGCCACGCATACCGGAGTAGTTATGGCCAAAAATTGGAATTTCGACAAAAATTGAAAAATAATATTATTTTATTCCCGAAACTTCGCATCGATTTTCGAGGGCTTAGAAAGTGAATTTCGCGAATCCGACGCCATATTATGTTGGCCATTCACATATGGAACACGTATGTGCGAAAATTGGAATTTCGCCCCGGGACCGGAAAAATGACGATTTTGCCACCGGGCTATTTTCGGGTCCGAATTTTTGGGAAAGTATTTGGGACAGTTAAAGATAATTATCAGCTGCATTATTGGCCCCATTTACCCTTTTGCCCTCAATTATTTGGATAGGATTGTTTAGAAACCGTTAGATTAGGAGTATTTTCGTCAAACCGCGGATTTGCGACACGTGTCGCCCTAGGCTGCCCTTTTTTGACCAGGTCTGACCTTTATCTCTCTCCTCACTCACCCTCACGCCAGAACTCCCCGAGAACAGCAGCCCCTTCAGTTTTCTTCCCCATTTTTCTCTCTTTTCCTCTCTTGTTTGGCTCGCCGAGCTCGCCGCCGGCCACCGGCGCGCCGCCGGCCGCCGCCTCCCCATCGATCACCACAGCCGCCTCAGTCTTGCCCCTGTCCGACCCCTTTCTCTCTCCCTTTCTCTCTCTTTCTCCCTCTTTTTCTCTTTTCGGTCCGGCAAAAGGGCCGCGGAGCTTCACGGAGTCCGATCGCCGTTCCGTCACCACCCATGGTCCACCTCGCCGTCGACGCCGGCCATACCTGTCCGTACAGTGTTCGTACGTAATTTATCAGTAGCAGCCCCGTACGTAAGTACTGTAGCACCGTACGGAAGTACTGTTCGTCCCGTCCGTACGAGTCACTGTTCACGCCGTTGTCGGGAATTCCGCTGCCGGTTTCACTATTCATCGGTGATCGGCCGCCGTTCCCCGTCGTCGCGACCTCGGATTAAGTGAGTAAAATTTCTAAACCCTGGATTAGGACCGATAGTGCATTTTTCTCGACCGGTTTAGGAATGCTAGTAATGCGGGCAGAGAAAATTAGTGTACTATTTGATAGAAATTGTTATCAGGAAAATGTAGTAGATCAATGAGAAATTATTGGGGAGGATAATGGGGTTTAATGACCAATTTAGGAGCTCGTTAGTGAAATTGCCGGGTATGCCCTGGTTGACTGATTGTACGTCAATTGTACTTAATTGTAGTTGATTTCGTACTGCTATGTCATATGTGGTGTGGCTGATTTTATAGAGTGCGATTGGCCATTGTTTGGTTTACAATGAATTACTAATTTGTGAATCGCACGTTAGGCCACACGGTATTAATTGAGCCAATTAAGCACGTGTTCTGACATTGGGTGTCAACATTATATTGGTGCTCGTGGTGCATTGCATTGCATAACATGGACACGCATTGCGTATGCCAAGAGTGAGGCATGTGATGAAATTGTACGAGAATGCGTGTCTACCATGAGCATGTGATCACCTAAAATACCCTGAAGCGTTATACGCTGGGTTCAAATAATAATGAGTTGTGTGATCACCTAAGGACCTTCGGGTCGATACCGTCCTCATGCACTTTGAAGCAGGATGATGCCCGCACGTCCGGAAGGCGACCATCCTCGTGCACTTTGAAGCGTGCTACGGTTCGTAAGGAGAACGTTGTTGCGTCTCATGCACTTTGAAGCGAGCTAGAGACACCGGGCCGGATCGGTTGTTGCGCCTCATGCACTTTGAAGCAGGCTAGACGCACCGGGCCGTGAAAAATTGATGACTCGAATCGTAATAATAATGAATTGGGCAAGTGTGCTGCAGTGTGGGCCAATGGGCCGGAAATACACGTGACATGTCGACGACATTTGCATGCATGAACATGCATGGACCGGCATGCGAGTGTGTGAGACTCGGTGCATGAGCATGTGATTGGCGTACGTGTGATAATGTGTGCCACGTACGTGCCGTGATTATTATATATCGAATCGCCTAACTTGTAGGATCGAGAATTATTTGATTGTTGTTGCATTATGTTTTCAAATATTCATTTCCGGTCGGAGATTGCATGCTAGCCTAGCCTAGGTTTAGGGGTTGAACTCATTGAGATTCGTCTCACGTTTGTGTAAATCGAAACATTTGGACCCCACCGTAGAATGCCGAGGGCATCACCTCTTTTGGGATACTCGCACAATATTCAGCGGTCGTCAAGCGTGCACCCCGTGGTGATGGAGCAGCCTATGTGAGATATTATGCTGTTTTGTTTGTAAATGTAGGAGAGGCGCACTATCACACCCAAGAATATGTGGCTTGGTGCTATAGAGGAGCCGACGAAGCAATCGGACCCCCGCTCAGGACCTTTGATGTCTCGGTAGACGTGAATAATGTCAAGATCCCACAGATGGTAAGTGGTGAGATTTCGATCCTCCAACTACGCTCGATTGGAGCAGCAGGGCGAAACCGTGGACGGACTTGCTGCTATGGTCGAGGAGGCGAGGAACCCGAAGTATTGTATGCGATCCGGAACTCTTGGACCACCGTAATGAAGAAGAGCCGGTAGCCATGGAAGTAGATCACGAACAGGATGGAGAGGTTGAGGAACTGGGATCCGATCAAGAAATAGGAGCCGAGGACGAGCTGGGATTATACTTAAACCCCGAGTTAGAACCGGATTCGGAGGACGAGAGTGATGCAAGCATAGGACATGGATTCCGAGGAGTTCGAGTCCCGGGAGAGCTCGATAGAGGAGTCCTCGTGGTCCGACCTGATGGGATCCCTAGGTTAGCAATACTCCTAAGTAAAGCGGGTTACACCTTTTTGACCGAAGCCCGTCTTAGTCCCGTCCAATACCCCTAGCCACTGACCCTTTTGACCTAGAGGCTGCTATTATGAGTGTTGACTGCTGTTGTTGTATAAACGAATATTGTAAAAAGGTTTGTATAGTAATGTAAGTATGTACCTATTTTCTGCTGTGATCGTGTTTATTGCGTGGCTATCCTTGGCTCGTATTTTATAATTGTCGGGGTTGTTTATTTAATCGCTTCCGCTTGTGCTTGTTCTCTGTTGGGCGTGGGTCGGCGACGCTTCCTGGGAGCTTGCACCATAATCGACCGCGACGGGATGTTGCGTTTCTATGGGGTACGGGGCGTGACATCGATAATATTTATGAATTTGGTTTGATTACGAAAAAAAAAGGCCAGTTTTGAAGTAACTAGCAGTAAGAAGGAAATGCCAACTTTTACTCCTTTCTTTCAAGGCTTAATTCCAAGAAAAAGCACCAATTTTAGGTCAAGTGATAATTCTGTCCCCAACCCTTTTTGCCTCGTAAAAAAGCACCAACTTTAGGTCGAGTGACAATTCTGGCTCCAACTTTTTTTTGTCTCATAAAAAATTATTAACTTTTACTTAAATTCCAAATTTGGCCTCCCTTGACTTATAACCATTAATTATCTAATTTGACTATTCCACCTCAGCAATAAATCCACGTGGTTTACTAACTGGATTTAAAACACTATTCATTATCTTCTTCTCTAAACCATAGCTTGAAGAATAAAAGTGAAATTGTTCATCTCTTTCACTTCACCGGCAAGTCAAAAAGATCTCCAGATTGAATCTCTTTGATCATACTTTGTTGTTTTGTCAAAATTTGAAGTTGTAGACCACTGCCCGTCGACAAACTCCATGGACTAGATCCGTTAAGCTCACGACCACAAACTTTTTTCTCAAACAAGGGTGACTTCAGACAGAAAGTTAATGGAGGGCCATATTTGGGATAATGGTGAAAGTTTGTGATTTTTTATGAGACAAAAAAAGTTAAGTCAGAATTGTCACTAGGCCTAAAGTTGATGTTTTTTTACGGGACAAAAAAAGTTTGGGCCAAAATTGTCACTCGACCTAAAATTTATACTTTTTTTTTAAATTAGCCCTTTCTTTCGACGAAATGACCCCACAAGAGGAATCTGTCCACCACATAGGGGGATAGATAGAAAAAAAGAGATGAGTTGAGAAGGACATTCACAACACTAAAAGATGACAGCAAAGGCCATAAAACTTCCTCAAGAAGGTGAACAAAGCCTTGGATAATTCTGCAAAAAGGACAAAAGGGAAGGAATAAGCAAGCACGGATGTGGGATCCATCAAGCACTATGGATTAACTTCTCAAGCAAGGGGGAGACTTCACCAGACAAAGTTGCTTGCATGAATCAATTATCTCCAATAAACAAGGACAGATGTGGGGTCCATCAACCCATATACATTAACTTCTCGAGTAAGGTGGAGACAGACAAAGTTGCTTAGCATGAACGAAGCGTCTACTATAAATTTAGCACTTCCATGCTCAAGTCTAACAAACATATCTAACCAAAGCCAAAGCCACTCTCTCTCTCTCTCTCTCTCTCTCTCTCTCTCTCTCAGCTTAGCTGAAGAGTCAACAAGAGAGTATACTGTCTGAATGGTGTCCTTGTTATTGTCTCCTACCTTTTTCATGGGATCTTTTTAATATTTCTTATGGCAGTCCTCTAATTATGCCATTTTACTCCTCTTTTGACTGTTCATCAGTCTCTTTCCCCGGATGATTAGGAGGAGGGAAAGAACAAAAACTAGCTTTTGCCACAGAAACACAAGTGGAGAAAAAAAAAGTACTGCAATTAGGAATGGAGTCAAGTTTACCAACTCTGTTAGTCGTTTTTGAAGTTCACATTAGTCGAAGTTGGCAATTTCACGAGGAGTACTGACACATTTCCATGGACGCATATCCCCTAAATACTTTGGTCAAGCGAGAAAGCTTGAATGCCATATTTACGTGCTATGCACGAATATCACCGTTCTTTTTGCCCCTAGAACCAGTCCTCCAATTTTTCTCAAAGAGCTCAGAAACCCCTTCAAATGCCTCCTTTCATTTTACTAGAATCGAATTATTGCGTCACAGAAAGAACTCAGCAGTTTGGCATACACGTAGAGCCGACATATGATTTGATATGAGTCGCTGTTTAGCTTTACCAATCAAAGTATGATCGTATGCTTTCTAGTTCCATCAAGTATTTACGCTGTACTTCTGCTTCTGATCTTACCGTAAACACTTCTTATGTCTCTTTGTCCCTCTTTTTGAGCAGAAAATTTGTTTTAATTAGCCTCTCAGAGAAATCAGCAGATGAGAAGGTTGCTGATACAGCTGCTTCACCAAAGGTGACCCAAGAGAGCCTCACTTCGCTATCACAACACAAGATGCCTCGGCCGATTGGGAAAAATATCAAATGCTTACCAAGTCCATTCATGCAATTCCATTGCAGCTTATTTAAATTCTCATTTCTTGTCTGCTCATTGTATCTGCAGCATTTGCTTGATGTAGAACAAATCATCAAAATGGAGTACTTTCGAACCGACACAAAGATCACTTCATGCGTCGCACGTCAGATAATGTGAGATGTGAGTCTACCATTTATTTTGTTGAAAATATGTCTTGAGTTTGAGCTTTTAAAAAAGTCCGATCTAAATAAGTTTCCAAGTTTGAGTAGGTTTCCTAGTTTGGATCCAAATGTATATATACTGGTTTTTGATTTTTGCCCAGCAGTGAGGAGATGAGCTTTTGGCCATAACAACCACTTATGCGGTGTGTTTGTGAATTATATCTTAAAAGAAATTGCAAGTATTTTGAAGCCAATAAATCTTGGAATAAAATTTGTAAATTTCATTTTGAGATTGAGAAAATTGTTTCGCAAGGAAATGTGAGTTAAATCCTGTGTGAATTATCGGGTGAAATTGAGAGCTAGGATATATTGAGGGCGTTTAAGTGACTTGAATGGATTGTAATCTCCCGTTGTACCATTTGATCTTTACTGGAATTCCTTGCCGCTCTTCTTGTGGATGAGGTCACACCAACCGAACCGGTATTTGATTTATTTCCTTCTATTCATATGTTTATTCGATCTCTTGTTTTTTGGTAGCACATTTCATTCTCAAATAAAAAAGACAAGTTTTCATTCTATCAAAAAACCTTAAAAATAGTTAAAGAAAAAGGACTAGATTTTGTAAATTTATGAAAACTAATGAACCTTATTATCTCAAAATTAGCATTTCCAATATAATCTCTTCCTAACGCAACGAAAGGCAACGCTCACGCTTCTCCATCCCACGAAATCCGTAACTACAGTTGAACGGCAATGCATGGTCAAAGAGGTTGATCCAATGAGAAGGCGCCACGTGTCTGTTCAAGAAATCCTAACTTGCCACGTGTCATGCTCTCCCTCATTTTTCTCCCTCAGCTATCAAATGGAGCTCTATATAAAGTGGCTGCTTAAAGTTCTGTTCAGAAGATCACGATCACAATCGTATCCATTTATCGAAGGAGAGTTTGATTTTGATTTTCACCAGAGAAAGATGGCTTATAGAGCAGCTGTGAGGATCATCTCTTATCTAAATTCCTCTTAGCTTCTTCATTTTCAGTGAATTTCTTATTTTGGTTTTCTTGATGTATAATGATCTTGTGGCTCTAGGGCTATTGGAGATCGATGCTGAGCCGAGCGGGAGCGAGCCACCACCGTTCGTTTGCGACGGCCACCAAACCCAAGATGTTCGCTGCGACAGCCAATGCCGCACATGCCAATCACCACCATGAGAGGTTTGCTCAATCGACGCAATTCTTGAAATCGTCTGTGCACGAGAGAGCACAAAACAACAATCCTCACGACTCGCCCGCGAGTGCTGATCAACCGTTTGCGCAGGAGCTTGATGATGAGGGGCGAGTACGCGCCGCTCGGGATGGTGCTCGCCATGGTGTTGGTGGCGATGATGATGGCGACACACACGGCCAAGCAGCAGCTGGTCCACTCGCCGGGAGTCAAGGTGAGCAAGAAGAAGCGAGAGACGGTGCCGGAAGTGGAGGACCCGGATGGCGTGATCAGCTCGGCCGACAAGTTTCTTAACAAGTCCTTCCTGAGGAAGGTGGCTCACATCCAAGAGGACACCCGCACGATCCCCGACCCCGTCCGTGCCAACCCTTACACCAAGTATGTTCAGCATCACTCATCTCTTTTTGTGCCGATTTTGGTACGAGAAGAAAAGTTCTAATCTAAGTATAACTTGGTGTCCAGTAGGCCTCGAGAGGCAGAGACACTGAAAATGGCGGGGGTGAATCCAGCACGCCATTGAAGGAAAGGACCCCATCAGGCACATCAACCATCCATTTCTTCTTCTTCGGATCCCAATCTGATCTTGTATATAGAAAGTATCTTGTTATCTATCTTTAAATTATCTACTTAGGGTTTGAGCCCTTTGGACAATCCCTATGTAAGGTTGGCCAACAATGGCTTCAAATATTCTTATTTGCCAATAAAAGCATAGCTAATTATTCAGTTCTGAGAATTAAATCGCCTTATGTCTCATCTCTACACGTTTTATGATGCACAATACATTTCTATGATGATCATTCATGTATAGTAATGATGGAAGGAGAAGGTTAGAGTTATGTGCTGTTTACACTTTACTATGTTTTAGTATAACCCGCAATGCGTTGAGCAGATATGAGGGATGAAATTGAGCCAAGCTGCTCGCAAGTAATTTGGGCTTGACACAAATATTACTCGGGATCGACTCGTCTGATTGTAATCAATTTGAGTTGAGTTGATCTCAAGCAAAAAAATTATACTCAATCAAGCTTTTGAGCTTGGCACCATATTATTGGCTTGGCTTGACTTAATATCCATCTCGCTCATATATTTTGTCCAAGTTATATGCATTTATATCTGTCTTGGTTAGTTTAATATATTTAAAGTGGTTCTACATTTTAAGGTTCATATTAATTATCAAAGTTTTAAAATTACATGCTAATTTACTTATCTCATTTCATATTTCTATGTTTGCTTGTTTGTATCTAATCTAATATAAATAAGTTAAGACAAATCCATGGGATTGTGAAAATTGTAAGGTGGCACCGTGACAATATAAATAAAATTGATCGATATAATATTTTTATATTCTCCAAACTCTAACAACTCTAGCATAGATTAATCGGGGGATGATAAGTTACATGAAATTACGTAAACTATTTTCAATGAGTTATTTTGGTGAGAATACGTGATTTAGTACTTTCGTCTAATGAATTTCAAATAGCTTTAACACTCCAACTTTTCCTTTTTTGTCTCCAATTTGTATTCTTAATTTATTGATTATTTAGGAATCTAGGAGTCCTTATTTCAAGATTCAACCTCTTTCTTTCATATATCTGTTTTTAGTGTTTCGAAAAATATGAATATCTAAGTGTGAGAAATTTCAAAGTGAAATTCTATGCGTTATATTAGCATATATAATATTATAACATTTTAAAAAATAAAAATAAAGATCTCTTATCCCTATTGAGGGTGCCTCTTGAGAATGGGGACCGGCGGCCGGCCCGGCCAGGCACAAGCCATGGCGCGGTGGCAGGCAAAGCTCCTTGCTAGTGGAGGCAAGGAATGCTATCTTGACTTGACCCAATCCATTGCTATTTTACAGAAAAATAAATGTCCAACCAAACAAGGTTTTCTTTAGCAAAAATTAGCATGACACAAGGATGAAAGAGGAAGTGATGGTTTGGATGAAAGTGTTGGAAAAATATTAGATAATATGAAAATTAAGAATTGTTTGGAAATTTGTTGAACAAGATGAAAAAAAAAAGATAAAAATATCTTAGGCGTGCAAGCACTAACCTAAGGATAATTTCGTCCATCGAAATACGAAACTCGGTGCGTAAAGCTTTAGTGGCTATTCTCCCAGGATACAACAAATCTTCATCTATACTCCGCACAGAATGAATTGAGGGAATATGAACAACATCGTTTGTGACATTCCGAAATTCCACCAATTGGAATTTATTGAATAATTGAGTTTCATGAGATGTGCTCGCAGTAAATTCTCGCCCGGAACTGATCATTCCTGGGAATGCTAACCATTAGGGAAAGGCTAATAGGGGAATTAAATTCGCGCGACTAGAGAAAATTCGATCGTGAATGGATTTCGACCATTAAATCGCGTAAGTGATATTTTGAGCCACTGTTGGCCGATCCAAGGATAGTTAGGGATCAGTTCGCCACTGTTCTAGTAGTGGATCGCGGGTGATTCCGTTGGACCACGAAGCGACTTGACGAATGATTCCAAAATTATACCGAATGATCGTACCCCTCGGATCAAGTGATTGATCTTTGCGATTTTAATGACAACCGAGGTCGTCACGTACCGAACGGACTTGCACGTGACTCGATTTAGTATCAGTCATGAGTCGATTTCACGAATTTCCCCAGCAAGCCGCCCGTTAGCTCGAGAAACGCTCGAGTTGCGTTTAATAGAATTTAATTATTGAAATTTTGCCCAAATTGGACACCAGAAAATTAGGAAGTCATGACGGAACGCCAGGACGACGTTGCACGTGACACGTGTGAATTTTTGGTGCGCTTAAATCCTTCGGAAAAATTCGATTTGGGCAATAAACGGAGAATTGGACCATTTTACTCTTGAGTATTAAAGAAAAGGTAGTTTTAGGGTCAAGGGGCATTTTGGTCATTTGTGCCCTAGATATTTTGGGTCAAAGCTTGAAGAAAAAGCTAGACCATTCTTTCTCTCCCCTCATTTCTTCTCTCTCCCCCATCGTGAAATTTCCCCCCTCCACCGTGAGACTTCTCCCTCTCCACCGATCACTCTCCCTCTCCCTCCGCCGTTCACCGCCGCGCCCCAAGCCGCCGTCCATACGTCCGCCGGACCGCCGCCGCGCCCAAGCCGCCGTCCTCACCGCCTCATCCCCACCCAACCGTGACACTCTCTCTCTCTCTTTCCATCTCTGGCCGTGGGCCCTCTTAGCCGCCGTGGACACCGCCGCAAGCCGCCGCTCGCCGATCGTCGCCGATTGTCGCCGCCGCCGCAAGCCTTCGTCGGATTTCAAGTTTTACCGCCGCTTTTGTTCTAGCCGAGAGAGTCTAGAACGAGGTAAGTTGTGATCTAAACCCTCGCCTAGTAGATCGGGTTGTTTCGGGTTTAGATAGACGCGGGTTGTTGTGATTTTGCGGGCTAAGTTGAATTACGGGCCCTAGGTTTGAATTTCGAGGATTTTGGTGGAAAATTTGGGGCCGATCAATGCTGTGAATTGGGGTTTAGTGTGCTGTGGTGTGCTATTGGGTATGAGAATGGTCCCGTTGAGTCCGACTCGGAGTTTTATGTAAGTATCGTGAAGAGTCGGAAGTGTGATTTTATGGTTTGAGTGCAGAAATTACTGTTCACGAGTTGTGCAGAAATTACTGTTCACGAGCTGTGGGTGTACTGTTCACTGTGCTGTGGTGAGTCGTTTGACGCGTAATTGGTGCCGTTAGGTCCGTCTTGGAATTTTATGAAAATCCCGTGAAGGGCTGAAAATGATTTGAAAGCATTTGAACAAAGAAAAATACTGTTTTACGCGAGAATGTGTTTTTGTGTGAAAATGGTGATGTGGTGAAGTGTGGGGTGCAAGTGTGCACGGAATTTGAGGCAATGGCATGAGAAAGTGAGTTGGGATCGGGCCGAGTATCATAAGCTCGGGCAACGATCATGTAGGTCTGTTGCATTTGGCACGGGCTGAGGCTCGAAAGAGCATGATTGAGTTCGGTCCGAGGCACGATCAGCTCGGGTGAGACCGGGATTGGACCGAGGCATTATAAGCTCGGGTTCCGATCATGTAGGCCTGTCGCATTTGGTGCGGGCTGAGTATTGGTCGCAGGTGTACCGAGGCGTGTACGTTTACGCGGTCAGCGAGTGATATGGGAAGTAATGAGTGGTCGCGGTGTACCCGAGGCGTGTACGTTTACGCGGCCACCGGCGAGTGATGTGGGAAGTAATGAGTGGTCGCAGGTGTACCCGAGGCGTGTACGTTTACGCGGGCCACTGGCGAGTGATGTGGGAAGTAATGAGTGGTCGCAGTGTACCTGAGGCGTGTACGTTTACGCGGGCCACTGGCGAGTGATGTGGGAAGTAATGAGTGGTCGCACTGTACCTGAGGCGTGTACGTTTACGCGGGCCACTGGCGAGTGATGTGGGAAGTAATGAGTGGTCGCAGTGTACCTGAGGCGTGTACGTTTACGCGGGTCACTGGCGAGTATTATGGGAAAGGAGAATTGAGAATGGAAAGAATGAGAAAGTGGAGGTGGAATGGGCGTATGTTGAGTGGATAGAAATCGTGTTATGTTCGTTGGTGAATGATTTGTGGAAAATTTGTATGTTGTGTCTTGTGTTTTCAAAATAAATTTTTATAGTGGACTAATGTGCAGGCTGCGTGTGTCGAGAGTCCAGGTATGTGTATTCGTGTGTTTTGTGGTGGATTGATTGGTTATGAGCTTATCTATGTCTGGAATAACGTGATAGCCTAGGTAGGGTTTAGGTTACAACTTATTGAGAAGTGTCTCATGGTTGTATAAACCAAACCATTTTAGATCCCCCGCCTGAGCGATGAATATTCCGCCGCCGCCACCAGAACGTTTCGGAGCTCTCAGTAGATGGGACGATACAAGGGGATTCCGACTCAGAGGACGAAGAATCGGATTCAGAATGGACGCCTAGTAAGGGGCGTAGGAAGTAATATCCGTTTAGAGGATGGGTTTTTGTGAGTACCATTTTTGGATGGAAAGTTGATCAGGTCATAGACCCTTTTTGTTACTGACCGTAGTAGTGTGGCGGGCACTTGTTTATATGGTGGCGTGTAAGTGTTGGAGTGGCTTTGTAATTGTAAATATTTTGGTATAAGTTTGGAAATGAGATATGGATATGTATATTCTCCCTTAATGCCTCCCCAATTTTTATATTGTCAGGGATTAATTGTAATATCCGCTGTGGTTGTAAATCTCTAATGATTATTTGAGGTCGGCGACATTCCTGGGATGTCGCACTCATCGACCAGGTAAGGGGCGTCACGTGCCCATTGGGGTTCGGGGCGTGACATCGTTATACGCAGCAAATAAATGGAAAGAAAAGAGAAAATTTCTTGTTTTTGGTAAATATTGATTGTGATATGGAGATTTTCTTTATATGCAAATAAAGGAGAGGGTTAATAAAGAAATAAAATGTTGCAAAGTCATTACAAATTCTTTGCACTCATAATTTCTATTAAAGCCGTTACAAAACAATGGCTTGAATATTTCAAAACCATTGAAATATATAACCATTCCCACGTATATCAAAAGGTTTTGAAAAAAGCAAAAAAATAAAAATAAAAATAAATGCTATGTTAAACTCAATGAATGTAATGCATCGGAACCAGTGCTTGTTAGGTTATGAATCAGACCTAGAAAGAATGAATATAATTCATGAAATTATTGATGAAGTTTGAAACTTCTATGAACCAAGAATTTCTTTTGTGAATTATAATTTTCACCAATCACATTACACCTCCAAAATTTTGTTGTTCAATGAGATTTTGCGCTAATAGGCCAAGCGCATGCTTGGTTTATTCTCAAGTGCTCTAAAGATTTTTGCCAAAAATTCTCATAGGAGCAGTCTCATTCCACACTTATATAGGTGATTCCATCAAGTGTATTTTGTAATTTAATACACCAGTAATAATGGCTATGAAATTTATTAAGAGCTTCGCTCAACCTCTTTTTCATTGCAGTCTTGCACTATTCTCACCTTAAGAGAAACAATAATTTTTAATAGTACATCACTAGATCAACAAGTGACTTATTATTTACCATATGAATATAAATCATGGGATTGCCAATCACATAGGTTGGGTTACCATCACTGTTCAACCAGCTTAAATCTCATTCCCCTCGATGTATATTCAGAGGATCGGCCAAAATCCCTTCTTACTTTACATAATTGAAGAATATAATTCCATTTCTAAGTAGCCGTTTTACCAAATCATTCCTCAACCGGATATGTCTATTTTTACCTTTGAAAGTTTATTCATTGCCATGGTTATTGTCACTTGGCAATCACAATACATATATTTCATTAACAAAGGAATATCTACTAAGAGGTTTCTTAACTACTCAGTCTTGTAACCAGATCTGAGTTTACCACCCATTCTTTCACATTGGCAACAATATTTGGCTAGGAAAATGACGGTAGCAATTACGTCATTAGATCATCTACTTGAACCAAGTCGATTTTTGGTTTAGCAGGATTGTCATTTCCCCAACAATTTTTGTTTGGCATATTTTCAAGTTACAACATCTTTGCCAAAGGTGAACACATATCCTATAGTGGATTTTATCTCATATGTATTTGAGCTATAGTTAAAATCACTGTATCATTTTAATACATTGGAAATCTACTATGTAAAATGTCATAGTTTTATATTTACACGATTGTGAATTACAACTCTGAAGTCCATATTTGACCTTCATATCTTTCTTTTTGGTCCACACTTTTTGCTCATTTAGTCTCACATTCAGACACATAAAATAGCACACTAAATTCTCATACAAAAATTTACATGATAGCACCTATCACAAGTTATACATATACATGTAGGTAGCATCGATTGCATGTAGACTTTAGAACAAGACAAAAATTTAGTAGTACAAAGCAATTGAGCACATTGATATTGCTGATATAAGCTAGAAGTAAAAGATAAGAATAAAATCATATAAACAACCCCAACACAAAGAATATTCAGGGAAAGAACATTTCTTGATGCATATATCCTAATGTAAGAATGTAGGGTTTATCTTCTTAATAACAAAATTTAATGTTTTCCCATATATCACCACATTATATCTTATCCATTCGATGAAACTCCCAATGAAGAGGATTACCTCACATGAAAAACAACACTCCAAGGTTCAACTTATTTCGTGGAAAAGTAACCCAAGAGAATTGGTCCAAGAAACAACATTTTGTTGATGGTAGCAAGGATAACTAAAATCACTTGACACATTCCCAGTCAACAATTATCATCACTTTAGCTCAAGTAATCGAACATTTGACACTGATATTCGTTAAGTTGGTTCCAGAGAAAACCTCCTCGTTGGCAACATTTTTTTCTATTAAATAGGGAAAATAATCTCCAAAATCAAACTTAACTAAGGTATTTAAAGCCATTCACACCCATTACAACATCGGCCTATACCTCGATGTATCGTTAACCAATCACGATTTCCTATCTTCGTCGAAAATCAAACACAAACTAGTGAATTTACGAATAAAAAGTAGAAAGTCATTGGGTGCCCCAATTTCCAATCCAAGATGCATGCTTACAAAAGAAATAATCACGAACTTGAGAGAGAAAACACCTACAAATGTCCAACTTCCTCTTGGAAAAACAAACATAGGCATGAAGCCCCAAAGAACAATTTTACCTGGCACTCAATAACCTTACCGAAATGACCCAAAAACTCTTTTGTGCTAATACTTGGTAATGTCCCACAACAAACCGCCAACGAATGTGCGATACTTATCCTTCCCCATCTCCAAGTCTTCGTTCAAATCCAACAGCGGTAGCTCCAGTTTGGGGATCCATAAGACAATTTTCCTTAAGATTGTTGAAAAAATATTAAATAAAATGAAAAATAAGAATTGTTGGAAATCCATTGGAAAAGATGAAAAAAATAAGATCATAAATATTTGAGGCGTGCAAGCACTTTCTAAAAGATAATTTCACCCCTCGAAGTATGAAACTCAATACGTAAGACTTTAGTAGCTATCTTTCAGGATACAACAGACCTTCATCTATGCTCTGCACAGCTTAAATAAAATGGAACATGAACAATAAAGTTATACGTAAAATCCAGTAAATAAATGAAAAGAAAAGAGAGAATTTCTTGTTTTTGGTTAATTTATAGCCAAAAAAAGAAGAGGGTAAATAAAGAAAAGCAAACCAAATTGATTTGAGTGCGGTAAAAAATAATGGCTTTTGAATATTTCAAAACCATTGAAATAGATAACGGAAAGTTCATGCAAATATATATAAATGAATCGTGCGCTAACAGGCCTGTCCAAAGGCGCTCGGCTCGAGCATTCCAAGGCAACTGATAGAATTGTCAACGTCCAACTTACAAAAGTAGTTCTCTTCGATGACCAGGACTGTGTCCAAAGAAGGAAAAATGGGGTCCTTTCGTGCATAAACGTGATTCCCTCACATCGGTTCGAGCGAAGCACCCGAGGCAGACGCGAGACCCACCCACATCCGCAGTTCTTGGAAACAGGTAAATGCTCCGCAACACCCATTTCAATCTTTGCCCAGATTTTGGTCTCTGTGTTCCAAAGAGAAGTGATTTCTTACGCGATCCGATTCGATATAGTTTGGAACATAACGAATCAAGAGGTCCCTTTTGAGCGTTCTTGCTGGTTGGTCAGCTCTGTTGATCTTTTCTCCGCTCTTCCCTCTGCCCTTTTGATGGGTGAAGAAGAGGGCATGTCAAGTGATTGCCAGAAGCCTGCGAAGACCAGCCCGAAATTGACTCTGCTTCCCCTAATTGCTCTTATCTTCTACGAGGTTTCTGGGGGTCCATTCGGGGTTGAGGACTCGGTGAAATCTGGGGGTGGCCCTCTTTTGTCTCTGCTCGGTTTCTTGATTTTCCCGCTGTTTTGGAGCATCCCTGAAGCCCTGGTCACTGCCGAGCTCGCCACAAGCTTCCCCGAAAATGGTGGCTATGTGCTGTGGATCTCATCGGCTTTCGGGCCCTTCTGGGGCTTCCAAGAGGGGTTCTGGAAATGGTTCAGCGGGGTCATGGACAATGCGCTTTACCCCGTGTTGTTCCTCGATTACTTGAAGCATTCGTTCCCAATTTTCAATCGGTTGATCGCCCGAGTCCCCACTCTTCTGGGGATTACGGCCTCATTGACATATTTGAATTACCGAGGCCTACATATAGTTGGGTTTTCCGCGGTTTCTCTTGCGGCTTTTTCACTTTTGCCATTTGCTGTCATGGGTATCCTGTCGATTCCTCGAATACAGCCTGCGAAATGGGTAGCAGTGGATTTTAGGAAGGTAGATTGGAGGGGGTACTTCAATAGTATGTTTTGGAACTTGAATTATTGGGATAAGGCGAGCACATTGGCTGGTGAGGTCGAAAACCCGAGCAAGACATTTCCGAAAGCGCTTTTCGGGGCAGTAGTTTTGGTGGTTGGTTCGTATTTGATTCCGCTTTTGGCTGGCACGGGTGCGGTGAATACTCCGGCGAGCGATTGGAGTGATGGTTATTTTGCCGAAGTGGGCTTCTTGATTGGGGGTGCTTGGCTCAGGTGGTGGATACAAGCGGCTGCTGCGATGTCCAATATGGGGTTATTTGAAGCAGAAATGAGCAGTGATGCTTTTCAACTACTTGGAATGAGTGAGATGGGCATGCTTCCGACCATATTCGCTCAAAGGTGAGCTAGTTTGCCAGGTGTGCCTTTTCAGCATTTGGTATCTGCTGTATTTGGTCAGAGTGTAAATTGAAGAAGTTCATGGCAGAATGTAGCTACAATGCTTGATAATAATCCTCTGAAGCTGCATGATCTAATAGGAATTACGGGTTCTGATGGAGTGGTGCACTTGGCACGTTTGCTTAGCTTTTTGCCTCACTGCAAAGTTAAAAGCATGATGCATCCTTTTGCCTCTAATCATAGTTCGCGTACCACCATTGAAAAGTTTCTGTCATCTAAATTTGTGCTTTCTATGGGAAATCATGATTGTTTTATAAAAATCAAGCAACAAGTAGGATATTGATTACATATTGTTGCTTGCTTAAGTATGAGAGAAAAATTTTGTCATTATTCCACCAACTGCGTCAAAAGGCTGTTCTCTTTTTTCTGAACACTTCACTAGTATCTGTTGTCTATAGGGCATGGACATTCTCAGACATCAGCAACTTGAATGATCTGTCTCGAAGCAATTACTTTTTGTTTTTGGGTGTAAAGGAGCAGATAATTAGATGGTTGATAGCGGACATATTTCAATCTTCTTTCACTTGATAATATTTTCTACGTTTTTCTGCAGCTGTATGTTCTTTTGAATAACAATGTAGAATTTAAATCTTGCAAGAAAAGATAATTAATAGAACAATTAACTATAATATCAAATATCTCATGTTGATTGCTGCAGAACCTCTATAATATGAGCTCTGAAAGTGTTCACCTTATATTTATTTTGTGATGTATGTGAGCTGCTAGACTGACTAAATTGTTTGAAGCATCGTGCTCCTAGAATCTACGTCAACAATCCTCATGAGATTTTTCTCAATGTTTAATGCAACTCCTGTAACTTCATTTCCAGAATCCGAGTAAAAAAGAAAGTGAAACTCCTGAATAGCTTGATGTTGCCTTCTTTTCTCTTGGTTAAAATTGTGAACTTCTGGTTGTACCTCTCCGTTAATACTTTTCTCCTTGAATGCATTTTCCAGGTCAAAGTATGGGACACCAACCATTAGCATCCTATGCTCGGCTACTGGAGTCGTGTTCTTGTCATGGATGACTTTCCAAGAAATCCTGGAATTCCTGAATTTCCTCTACTCCATCGGCATGATCCTCGAATTTGCTGCTTTCATAAGATTAAGGATAAAGAAGCCGGACCTTCATCGACCATACAGGGTACCGTTGCAGACATTTGGGGCGACAATGCTCTGTGTGCCTCCAACCCTACTGCTTGTGCTCGTCATGTGCCTGGCTTCTGCAAAGACATTATTAGTGAGTGGAACGGTAATTTTGGTGGGTCTGTTATTATACCCTTTGGTGATTCATGCGAAAGATAAGAAATGGGTCAGATTCGAAGCACAAGAAGGATTGCCCTCAGATGATAATCAAGTTGGTCATTTTGTCGAGTCAAAATTACCACAGGAAGACACAGATGATGCAACAGTTACCCTGCTTTCGGAATCGGCATCATCCAAGACACAGCAGGACCCTTCTTCGGTTGTGGTGGAAGAAGTCCTCAAGTTAGAGTAGGAGGTAATTCTCCATTTATTTTCTTCTGCTTACATAGTCAGATCATTAAATTAGGAAAATAAATTGAAAAAGAAATAGTGGTGACTGATCCAAAAGGCCGATATTATTCTCGAGGCGTGCCGCTTCTTGTAAATTTTATGCCGCGTGCCAGAACTTGCAAAACAAAACTGGTTATATCGATGGAAATAGGAGTTCAGGAGAGTATCGGTTTCATGATGCAGATCATCATGAGTTAGCAGCTTCTCATTATGTCGTGTCCTGAGAACGAACCCTCGAACGGAATTCGTCTCCGCAGTTTAATGAGGTTTCCCAAATGCAAAGCTTAATGAAATCTTCTCAGCATTTGCCATTGAAAAGTTTCTCCCTTCTTGTACAGTCACAGACCAATCTGTGACGAGAAAAAAAGGTTGTTATATGATGTTTGTAGCTTGGGTTGTCTGATGCAAAGCAAGGGTAATGAATCAGTCCATCAATCGCTGGTCTCTCCTTTTAGTTTTCCTCTGCTCACTTTCCAAACAAAAGCATTGAAATTTCGATTCAAGTAGCTGACAGGAGCTCAATCTTGAGTCAGATACAAAGAATTGTTTGGAAATTAGCTTAAATGACCTTGTTTTGACCAGAAGTTGGCTGAGATTGGCTTTGAAATCACTTCACTGAAATTCCCTCGTCATTTTCTAACAACCTATGTTTAGTTTTTGCTCGAGGTCCATTTGAATTTTAACATGAGATTCGCCAAAATCAAAAGTTTCGATATAGACTTGATTTATGTAATCATAAAATTTTCATCGACTCAATCCTTTTCTCTTCTCCTTTCATACAATAAAATGACAATTGAAAACTAGTGAGGGGTTGTGCCTTGAGGTTTTTGTTGTCCTTAATTTTTCAAAGCAAATAAAGATTGTATCAATAAACTACCCTGGTGGTTGACCTGGTGGTAAAGGGGTTATATGTCTTTCACGAGTTTGATTCACGTCGTGAGCGAACCACCAAACGGCTCGTGCCGAGAGTTGCCTAGTTTTGGCATATATGGTGTGGAGAGACTTCCTGATTGCCAACGTCTTGGTGGACCTACAATGACGGGCTCGCCAATCTTGGAATTTCGGGTCGCAAATTGTACAAATTATCTGTGGCTCCAACCAAACCTTCCGTAGCAGATATGAAGCCCTTATGGTAACACTTAGAGCGGGTCGCTAACGTTGGTTGCAGAAAAGAAGATTATACGCATAATAGGCCAACTACACAATATACAAAGGCCAAAAAGTCCCGAAAGACAATAGAACACACAAAGCTATAGAGGCCCAATAAAGATACATACAAGATCAAAGGCTAGAAAGGCCCGCATGAAGAGAAGGCCTTGGTCCAGTGATAAATACATGGGCCCAAAAATAGGCCGATCATTTGAAGCTGAGGAAGCCCTAGCAGCAATCGAATTTTTCACCCTCGCAAGCTTACCTCTTCCATTCCCTTAGAAGACCAAATTGTCGAAAAAATGCCGTATACCAATTTCTCTATTGACCAGTTGTTTCAAGCGATAGAAGTGATCTTTCTTAGGAAAATATATTTAAATCATTCATTTTCTGCGAGACAAACAGAATCTTATTCTTACACAAACATCAAAGGCTCAATTACATAGACATAATGCGGGCTAATTGCACCAGCATGAAATCTAACGGTAGACAATTGAAATACAAATCAAAATTAAGTTATAATTTGACCATAAATTAATCAAATTAAAAAAATGTTTGCTATCGGAATTGGAGTTTTGAAAAAGTGTGAAGGCCTGTTTGTTTGGATTTAAACAGAAGCTAACCCACCAAAATTAAAATTATTATTCAAATTTAGACTTGGCAAAAATGAACTAGACCCGATAATCTGCACAAACGTACCCTCAAATTTAGGGAATTAGAGGACTTTTTTGCAGCCCGCAAAAGAAAAAGAACGAGGGTGAACCCAACCCGAACTCAAATTTTTTCGGGTTGCATAAGGTCAACTAACTTCAACCCAATTTGGTCTTGTTAGCTAACCATATGTATAATATCCTAAAGAAATATATGGTGTATATATTTTCCTATATTTGATGCATGAATCAAAATAATTTCAATAATGCTAGAAATATTAAGGCTGTGCTCGGTGCAACATTTCAAATGGGCCTTGGACCTCTGAAGGCTTTTGAGCCAAAGTTGAGGTGTTTGGCAACAAAATTTTAAAGGTCTTCAAGTAAAAGCTAGCATTTCCAATGTCCCTTAGCCCAGTGCACGTCCATCCAACTTTGGCTTTGAGTATTTGGGAATGGTAATGAATTTTTTTCTTCCAACTTTAGCCTCACTAAACTTTGAAATTCCAATTTTACCCTCACCAACACGTGACGATAGTGAGGTCTGATCTTACCATTGGCAAGCTAGATTTGGTTCAAGTAGCCCTCACGAGGACTCCTTGGGGTGGTGTGAACCTAGGCAATCGTTGTCGAGATTGTGCAACGTTCTACCAAGGGTTGCACGACCATAGGCGAGGACCGGCGTTGCAATTCTAGCTCACCGGCATCGGGCGGCCACCTAAATCCTTTGTTTGAGCACTGTCAGATTGCTAAGCTTCAGCTTCCTTTTTCTTTTTTAATAATTAAAGTCGGTGTAGTTTTTTTCCAAATAAAACTTTACCCAAGGTTGCTTCCCAATGCACTTTTCTATTACAATTTATCTAACACTATTTGCATTTCGAAAAAAACCATTTAACCTAATGCCCTTTGCATTTCCCCAAAGGCTCTTTAAAGCGCACCCTAAGATCCATAGTAAATTTGCTTGGCTAAATCACGTGATAATTTTTCTAGTTAAGTGCTTAAATGGGCCCACAAGCTTAAATAAGTATCAACAGATTTTCTCCTTTCTTACTAGACGAATCTTGATATCTCTAGCATTGCTCATTTGACGTGGTTTCTGACGGGGGAGTACTAATGGTGTATGCTTGTTGGACGCAGATGCTTGGATCTGTTCCACCATCCCAAATTCTGGCAAAGATAGAGGAACTCAAGAAAGTACTCCGGTAAGAACTTTCGGTGCCACATCAATCCCCGGACGTAGGGTTATCTCTTGGTTGAATCTGGATATCGATACTGTATAATCAATGATTACCCAAGAAGCTTTAAACAGATCGGTGCCATTGCACTCGTACACGCAGATCTATATATAATCATCTCCATACCTTAAAGTGAAATGGCCACCAGAATTGTAGATAGACCCGATGTCAGTGATGATTGTTATGAGAACTTTTACTGTATATGACGTGCTTTGGAGACGTGGAATTCATCCTGAAGTAATGGATCTGCAATCATTAGCCCAACTCCAATCAGTTTGAGGAAGAATAGGAGATTACGTGGAAGCGCTGCTTCCGGGAAAGGCCACTTGGTTTCCCATCTTTTCAAAGTTATTGGATGACAATCTTTTTTCTTTTGCTTAGCGGCAAATGATCTATTAAAGCCATGTCGCCGTGATTTATGGGACTGTGATTCGTTTCCTATCACAAGGATTGGGGAAGAAGGAGATCTACTGTGCGACCATGTCCCCTGTGCTAAATGTGTAATCAAGACCCTCGGACACAAAGTTTGACTGATGTGGCTTCCGAAGGAAGCTGAAGAGTGACGTGAATCGGATATTGACCACGTGAACACCCACCAAGGAGCTGCAGATAGTGAATGAATTAATTTTTCAATTTGTTTTTTTTTTGCTCCCACCAATTTACTAACTACGATGGGTGCTTATTTACATAGGTAGTATGTGTTGTTTTTTTGCCTAAAGATCTCGTGCTGGATTTCGTAAAATTTCGGGATCGAATTCGTTGGTAACAACAGAATTTGACCTCACATAAAATTATTTTGCAATGGCATTGCATTCACGCATTAGAAACATTTTTTTTTTGTTTAACATGTCCGCATCAAATAAATTTCATGTAAATTGGCCCGGTCGTGAATCTCGTTCAAATTTGCCGAGCATGCTTAATGATATTGAATTTAGGCGCTAAAAATTCATTTGAATTATCAATGGATAAATACCCAATCAGTCCTAAACCTATTGGGCGTATGTTAGTTCAATTCTAAACTTTCCAATTTTGCCAATACAACCATAAATTTTTGCGCAAAATTCCAATGTAGTTTTTCCGGCCAGTTACCGCCGGAAATCACTGACGTGGCAAATGTTAATATGGTGAAATTATGAAGAGAAAGGAAGGAATTCCGCTTAAGAGATATTTACATAGTACAAGTTGATTGTTTTGTAGGCTCTTGGGTTACGTTTGATAGTCGGGATAAAATTCAGGATAGGATTTATGATACCCGTGTTTGATGCCTGCCTAAGACAGGATAAAATCGGATATATGAGGAATATAGCCCGGATAAAATTATCCTATGGGGGAGGTGGGATAAAGGTGGATAGGATTTCTAATATCAATAATATAAAAGTTATTTTTCTCGAATAACAACAAACTTGTTAAATTAATAAAATTATCCTACGGGGGAGGTGGGATAAAGGTGGACATGATTTCTAATATCAATAATATAAAAGTTATTTTTCTCGAATAACAACAAACTTGTTAAATTAATAAAATTAAAATAATATTCTAATATAAATAATATTTAAATTTTAATATAAAAATTCAAAATAACAAAAAACTAACAATAATTTCTTTTGTATTTATTCTTATTTTTATTTATATATTCAAATTTCTTTCTATCTTATGATATAAATTTCATATATAAAAATAAATACATTTATTATTTATATTTATTAAATTTTTAGGTATATTAGTATAGTTTACTAACCAATAAAATTTTATTAGAGAATGATGGAAGGGGAAAAAAGAAATAAAAAAAGAAAATAATTAAAAAATAGAGGGAAAAATAATAAAAGCTAAGCAAATAAAAATGAAGTAGGCAAGAGTGTCGTGAGAGATTTTTATCATCTCTGTTTATGCAATTTTTAGGTTCATTTACACTAATGTGAAGTTCATAGCAAATAATTAACATGGTAAGATGCGAAAATATCCAGCTTTATTTACTGCGATTCACCAAATGTAGTAAATCCCTTGGATTTCATATCCTATCCTATCCAGTCCTATCATGGCTAGAAATCCAAACAACCAAATGTAGTCTTGAGAGATTTCCTCGGCAAAAACACTGAAACTATAGAGGGAGCTTAGCAACGTAAAAAAAAAAAAAGCAAACGGAGGAATCTGGCATTAGACGGGGTCTCAAGGTGAAAATCACCGCTTTTATTTTCAATCTTTGGAGTAATTCAATTACGTGAGCCTACCAATGTTTTACTTTGATTTTGTTCGGCTATTTATCTTCGGGTGCATTCATAACCTGAACCGAGAAAGCGGAGCAATTTGTCTCGAATATGGTTAACTCCGAACCAATTCCCTTTGCGATTGATTTTGGTTTAATGTTCTTTTCGCGAAAATGTTGGAACTGGTGTAAAAACTTGCATTGTTTCAATTTATTTCGATTTGAATAGTTTGTTCTAAATTCTGTCTTGATTGAAATTAGTTTGGATAGATTTCACTGCATGATCATAATTATCTCACACTAGTTGCATCAGGTTTAATTTCGATAAAATTAAAGTTAGTCACGTGTTCATGTTTCAATTTGTTATCATATTTCATGTCATGTTTGCATGCAGTCCCTTATAGATTTAAAATTTAGATTGACATGCTAGATTTACATTTGTAATTATTGCATGGTTAGTAAATCATATGTTTAGATTAATTAGGGATTCTGCATATAGGAAATCACACCTTATAAATATGCATATTTAGAAATATTCATATTTGCGTTTCTAATTGTGTTCATCTTTGCATCTTTAAGCATATTGACATTTTTGCATATTAAGATAAGATTTCACATAATATTTGCACCATTGTAATTGCCATGTTAGATAAATTAGATTTTAATGAATAGATGTTTCAATGCGTACTAGGACATTTAGATAGCATTCTTATTTGATTGCTATACTTGCATTTTTATTTCCATGAATTACATGTAATAAGATAAAAATATATAAAAAAAATCACATCTTGCATGTTGTGATTTCAGATTGCATCTACAATAACAAATCACAAAAATATGTATAGGGGTGCATTTAGGGGAATTAAAGTTTATTTGCGTATTTTCTTTATATTTTAATCTAGATTACGTTAACTTAAATTCTTATATTTGTTAGAAGCTCATTTTAGGAAAGTAATTTGTTTAGAATGGATAGCAGGTTCCATATGCATATTAATATTTCCTTCGATACATAAGTCTATCTTATAAAACTTGCATAAACTTTTCTTTTACCGCTAATGGGGTCCTGTCCTGAGGCGTAATAACAATTAATTTTTCCCGATACGGTTCAGCTTCTTTATTGTCCTGCCCTTATTTGCTTTTTGGGTTTAGATATTATCGGATTTTACATATGTCCGTTTAAGTGAATTACGCTTGATTACTCGTTTTGCATGTCTTACATGACGGAAAAAAAAAATCGAAAAGACCGCATGAATAATTTTCTTCATAAAAGATAAAAATGTACCAAGATTGGGCGTTAGATATCTCTAGCATAATCAAGTCCCGAAACCCACAAATCTCTGGTTCGCTTGGCTCCTAATCGACCTAATTTAGATTAGTGGCAACTCCTAAGTTCAATATTAGGTGAATGATTAAATGAGAAAAACCAAGTTGCGATCCGTAGAGCTTGGTAGGGCTCATGCTACGCAAGGGGCATCATTTATATCCACTTAGCAATCCGTCAAACCCTCCGAATTCCAACTCGGGAGGGTCACAACAATAGGTAATTTACGTCAATCTTCGGCTGTCTTTCAATACTGTATTTGGTCGGATTTCATGTTGAACAGTAATGAAGGTCATAAAGTAATTGTGCAAAGCTTTTCAACGAGAGATTTAAATTTGGCTAGTGGACCAAAGTCCAACAAGGTAAGAGTGCATAGAATTATGGGGGTGGTGGGGAGTCTTATGTACACGAAGACGAAGGTCAACCATTTTTGCTTCTTACATTTCTATTTTGGTAGGAGGTTAGTCCTACATGCCCCCCCTCGCATCCGTTGATCTTGTTCTTCAGGCTCCGCGAGACCAGAACTTGGAAACTTGCTTCACCAGCGCCTCCCAACACGTGAACATGATAATGTTGTTCCGTACGAAACACCTCCACAAGTTTTCTGATAGATGTCCCGCCGGTCCACAGTGAAGGACATGATCAGCCATCATGAATAGCCTGAGCTTCTTCATCTTTTTGAATGAGTCTGCATTCATGATCAAGTCCTCTACGTCAACCTTGTCTAGTTTAATGCCTTCAATGGCATCTGCTCCCTATTAGAGTGAAATAAAAATAATTATGCATATTGGAAGCACTTGAAAATAATTATGCATATTGAAATAGGCCATTAAACTTTTACCGAATTTTGCCTAAACACTTGTAGAGCATCCTCATGACGCCATATTCTGCTTCGCTTGCTAGGATTTTGAGGGCACTCTTCAATCACGATTCTTCTACCCATTTCTTCAAACAAATCATGCATCCATATTTTGTTCTTTTCATCGCTATATATGAGCAACTTTTGAGCTAGAATCTCAATCCCACTATTGGCATGGACACCGCATTGGTCTAGGGACTTGATGATCTCTTCTTTATCATATCCATTAAGAAAACATGCGATGTCGAGAAAAACCGTCCTCTCATTGGCCTCTAAGCCATCAATAACAATCCTCGTTATTTCATGAACTTTTCCCCGAGGGATTTCTTTCAGTCGATCAAAAGTTCCTTGCCATTCTTTGACGGTTTTGCCGTTCAAGAAAGAACCTATCACAGTGAGTACCAAAGGAAGCCCTTTGGAAAAACTGGTAAAGCAATTAGAGAGCATCTTATAATCACTTTTGGGATATCTTTCCTTGAATGCATTCCAACTAAAAAGCTCGAGAGCTTGATCATCATTCAACGCTCTTACCTTATAGATATCCCCGCATAGACCTATTAAGTTTTCTTCATGTCGAGGGATCAAAATGACTCTACTTCCCAAGCCTAAGTTCATTGCCTTGATCATGTGGCTCAGAGGCTCCAACAACCCTTCAACATCATCAATTACCAACAAAACCCTCTTGCTTTGAAGCTTACTCCTCATGAAGTTTATTACTGCATAAATATCATCACTAAACTGTAAAACTCCATCGTTGAGAACGTCACCAAAAAGGGTCTCCTGCATTTTGACGAGGCCATCTTGGCTTGATATATCCTTCACGTTCGCTAGAAAACAACTCCGATCAAATTGATCTGCAATTCGATGGTACAAAGCTCTCGCAAGTGTAGTCTTTCCTATTCCACTAGTGCCGGAAATTCCCACGATTCGGACCTCCCCAACCTCTAATTGGAGTAAAGAGTACAAGGCTTGTAACTGAGAATCTAATCCAACTGGATTGAAAGCAAGCAGGTTTGTGTATAAGCCGCTTAGTCTTCTTGAGATTTTCTCCACAACAGATTGGATGAATTCAGCTTCAAGTCTGCAAATTATCAACAACTAAAGGGGTGACTCTGGTTATTCGTGCTAGTAAAAGATGAAGAAAAGATCAATAAGATGATATTCCAGAACTTAGGAGTGTCGTCCATCTAACATAATTTAATATCCAGTATCCAATCCACTATAATAGTATATAGTGGCATGTGAGACGTTGACCTGTGGGGAAGCGGCTCGGTCTTCTTTTGGCTAATCCTTAAGCAACAAATTAAAAGAAGAAAGATAGGAAAGAGGTTCTACGATAGAAAGCATCTTGGCCTAAAAAGGAAACAACATAGAAAGTTGAGAGAGAGAGAGATTGAGGAGCAGGCCATTATAGGATAGAAGGAAACAAAATGGAGGCTGAACTTTCTTGTAAACCCTAGCTAGGTACCACATTCCAGACAATACCGAGAAAGTATTTAGTGGTTAGATAGCACCACGTTATAGGCTGACATGGCGTATATTTTTGTTTCAAAGCCAATCAGAAATTGACACTTGTTCATGACATGGAAAAAAAATTTAAAAAATTGAAAATCAACTTCTCTTTTTTCTCCCTCATCTTCCTCCTCTGTCCGCGATCAGCTCCTCCATCCAGTCACCAGCGGGATTGCTGGCAATACGTCAAAGCCGACCACTGCCGCGCGTCCATGGCCGACCCACTCCCTTGGTCGTTGCTCGAGTTCCCTACCTTGACCTTAGTTGTCGCAGATCAGAGTCGGTCGACCAGATCTGGACTTCGCTGCTCACGATGGCTGTCGTCAGTTGATGGACAAACTCCAGTCATGGCTTGTGTTTATCAGATCTGGCAATGTAATAGATGGTTCCTTTTTTCGGAGTCGGAGCTGAACCAGTCGAATTGCTTCTCGACAAGAGTGGGAATGAGCAAATCAAGATCTTCTTTTGGACACCTTCTAAGTTGAGACTTGCACACCTCTTGAACCCCAAAAAGACTTGGAGATGCGCTTTTCCTCTTAGTCCAAAAGTTCTCCATCAGGTCGCAGCAGCGTGGGAACATATTTCTTTTTTTTTTTTACCTGTTCAGGTGCAGCAAATGGACGAGCTGCAACAAAGGTGGGTGGCTTGGCCATGGACGGCGATGACTGCGAGCCACTGCAATGACGAAGGAGTGGCTCGGCCATGGACGCGCAGCAATGGCCGGCTTGGACGCAGTGCCGGCGACTCCGCTGGTGACTCTGATGGAAACGGTGGCCGCGGATGGCGAACGAAGAAGAGACGAAAAAGAATACTGACTTTCATTTTTTTTATTTGCTTGCCACATCGAGGACACGTGTCAATTATTAATTGGTTTTCAATACATATATACATGCAAGCCTATGACGTGGTAGTCTCTTAACTACTGAATACTTTCTCTGAAGACAATACAAAGACTGACAACAACTTTTTTGTCTTTTCTTTTTTGCTTTTCATGGATGGATGATTCCATAGGGGAGAGTTTAGGTAGTGAAGGAAAGGGTTGCATCACAGCTGGGTTTACCCTTATTGGCCGTGGAAGATGTCTGGACTTGCCATTTTTTTTTTTGGTAAGGAAAAGAGAGAGAAAAGAACTCTGGACTTGCCATTTTCGTTCTCTTTAGTATTAACAAAAAGCAAGCATGAGATTTCTATTAACTTCTGTTAGCATATGTCTCGAGTTTGAGTTTGTGAATGAAACCCGACCCAAATTGAATTGCCGGAAAATCTGGCCGTATTAAAATAGTCCACTTTGTGACCGCCTTCTCCAAGGCTGAATCCTTTTGCACTTGTGAGTCCAAAATGGAGTTGGCCTGTGACTGTGAGAAGAGGACTTAAAAATAGGATTGTTGCTGACCTATTCACAAAAACATTCTGGACGTTCGATATCGAAATTAGCAAAACACGTGAGTTTTTTTTTTCTGGGATTTGGAGTCAGTTTCAATATTCCCATGTTGGAGTCAGATTGATTCCGGTTATGCCTCAATATATAAATACGTATCTTGTCTCTTATGAATAAGAGAAGAAGGTGATTTAGTGGCACGTCTATTGGTATTAGATTGGATTCTTTGTGGTTTACATCCTGTTGCCGCACGTCTTCTCCTAAATTACACCTTGGCACATGTTTGAGACGCTTAAATTTTGAGGGTAAATTTTTGTATAATTTTTTTTGTGAGATTGAGAGAATATGTCGTGAGAAATTGTGAGTCTAAACATTACTTAAGTTATTACATATATTTAGGACTAAAAAAAATAATGAGAGTGTTTGAATGACTCGAATATGATTGTAATGCCCATTGTATTACTTTATGTATAGTGAAATTCTGTGCTATCCCCGTGGAGTAAATCCCACCGATCAAACCACATAAATTTGTGTCCCTTTTATTTATTTAAACTGTTTGTTATTATGTTCGATTGTTAGTTTCTCAACAACATCCTATTGAAAAATAAGCTCATATGCTTTGGAATTCAGCCATTTGTATGTTTTCAACAATGGGACTCAGAGTAAGCAAGGGAAATGATGCACGGGCAACGGCTAAAAATCATTGTTCTCTAGAGATTTCTTTATGGTTGAGGGAAGAAGTGAGGATAATAAACTTATATGCTTGTTTAGTTATGAAATACAGAATATGAAATGAGGGTTACAACTGGAAAAGAAGGGACATCCATCAATTCCTTTTCTTTTCCTTTAACGTTTAGCAGAAGGTCATCTATCGTTTTGTTTAGTTGACACTTCTAAATATTCCTACTGCCCATAGACCAAAAGATTGCGCTTAAGAACAAGTTTTGTTGTTTCATGGACAAAATTACGGGCTTCCTTTAGGAATCCTCTCAAGAAAACACTCAATGAAGAGAGAAAGTTAGTACCTGTTTCCGAGAGGCCAACCGGTGAGATTGCCGGCTTTGCGGAGAGCCTCTCTCCACCTCTGGACCTTGTCGGCGTTCTCCTGCGCAAAACCCTTCTCGCCTTGGCCAATCTGGGTGAATGGTCCAGCCTGCTCGCGCATCTCTCTAGGGTCGACGTCCATGAAAATGAGGAACACCAGCTGGCCGTTCTTTTCCTTGCACTCGAGGATCTTATCCAGCTCGTCTAAGCACCACGGCGAGGAGGCGTAGTTCTGAGAGATGACCACGATGGCGCTCCTCGACCGCTCAATCGCTACGTTGATTGCTGGTACGATCTCTAGTCCTCTTTCTAGACTGTGGTCGACAAAGGCCCTTATCTTGTTCCGCTCGAGAGAGTCGCGGAGATGGCTCACGAAGTTGCGCGTGTCGGCCTGTTTATAACTGATGAACGTATCGTGAACCCACCGAGGGATGGAGGAGGGGGGAGAGAAGAGGTGTGGCCTGGCGGTTAGGCCATGTGGGAAGGAAGAGAAGTGGTGTGGAAAGAAAGAAGGCAAAGAGATGGGAGGGGATTGCAGTTGGAATTGAGATGCTCTCTTGTTTCGGAGGCTTGGATACATTGGAGGAGGAGAAAAAGGAGGGAAAAGCTTGCGCTTGAGTTGGCCAAATCGGATCATCATCTTACTAGAATTTGCCATTGAAACACCCCCAAAATCGAAGTAGAGAAAGAGCTATACCGAGTTCATTCACAATGCAAGCTCCCTCGGCCTAATTATAATAAAAATCAAATTCTGAGCCCTTTCTCCCTCTCACGCACACATGCGCGCGTAGAGACAAAGCTTTTTTGTCAATCACGGCACATTGTAATTTCTGTCCATAGTGGTTTTGTCCATCAGATATGACCGTCTGTGTCACCTTTTCCTGGAAGGTTGAAAAGCAAAGCAAAGTGCCACGGGTGATCCAGACGATGCATCCTGACCACAACGAAAGGTCTTCAAAAGAGCGATCAAACGGGCGGCGGCCACCGATATTTTGGGATGCTGATAGGGAATACTTTGAAATGAGTGACCAGACGCGCGTTTCACTGCACGCTGAACACCACGAAGAATTTAAAATAAGCGATCAAACACGCGGTCATCGGCATCTTACACTGAAAAAAAGAAAACTTACATTCAATGTGTAGTCAATATACCTCGTGAGAAAATAGATATCGGGTGATCCGATGACATCTTTTTATCACAAATCGACAAAAAGATAGAAAATGCTAGGTAAACTTCTGGCCACAGTTATTGTTGACATAAATTCTCGAGAGCCATTGACAAGTTCACAAACATTTTGAGGCGTGCAAGCACTAGTGTGCACCGCACTTTTTGGGTGTAGTGGGAACAAGAAAATATATGAAACCAGCACACACGCAACAGGCTGATACTTACAGAAAACTCGGTCGTACTGTCTAGCTAAGTGACAGCTAGAAGATTAAACAGTAAACGGCTAGAATTTCGGTGTGGGGGATCCAACTTTACAGTGAGTTCGGGTCAACACATTTTTATTGCGGTTACCATGCTAGAAAAAACCCATTAATAAAGTGAACTTGAGAAGCAATTCAACCAATGTGGGACAAGGGAAAAAAAAAGAAAACCAAGCTTTTGGAAATACTGTTGTGTAACTATTATACAGCATTATCATTTTCTTCTACTCTCCTTTTTAAATCATGGGGATACTTTTTCCTTATAGTACTTTGCTAATTTAGAGAGATTAGTTGATGAAGGATGTGTTGAGAAAACCTCTTATAATATTTTCAAAAAGACATAATTATTTGTCTATATCAAATGTTAGATAAATGCATATGTTGTCTTATCTCAGGTTGAACAAATACAAGGAAAGCTCCATCAACACCGATAAAACCTGGAGTATGAAGTGAAAAGACTAATGATGGCTGGAAGGACCTTCATGGAGGTGAATAAGTTCATGAGAACGGGAAATTTACGAGGGCTTGGAGGTATCATATCAAGTTGAGTAGCTTATACTGGTAATACTCCAGAAGAAAGTGGAAAGCAGTACGAAAGTCAATCACTAGCGGGAAGCCTTGATAAACTCATGCGTTGCGGATGGAGGGGGATCCCTATATCAGCTGAGAAGGACATTCGTATTAATGAATATGAATACCCTTTATGATTTAAAGACCCATATATTACATTGACTATCAATCTAAATCTCAAGGAATATTAACAGAAAGCCACAGGCCTGGAGCTCCAGAGAATGATAAATGGAGAAAAATCCAATCAATTGTCAATCAAATTGCCGGAAATGGTTATTTCCCAAAGTAGAATATTTGATTGTGTGGGCAACTAGATCTCCTAGTGATTGTGTTGCTTATCTTCAACGACTAAATTGTTCCTCTTGAAAATCATCCAACCGTTAGCGTGGATCTTGAAGACATATTAGAAGATGAACATATGTTGAAGAACACATGAATTGCGAGAACAACTACAAATTGAGAAAACTTTATTTCTTTGATGCACTTAGGGCATGTTTGGTAACCGGTCTATTTCTATGTTTTTTTTGTTTTTTTGCTTTCCGAAACAGGAAAAGAACATAAATATGTTTGTGTACGTCGGTTAATTTTTCTATTCCCTGGAATAGATCAATAGCCAGGGAATAGATATGGAACAAAAACAATAAGTAAAAAAATATACTTTTTGGTTTATAGGAACTAAAAGAGAAACAAGGTCATTGTAGAGCGTGGGAGTGACTAAGAAACAAACTCAGCGTAACCTAATGCTCGTCTTTACACAATTGACACAAACCAAGAGAAGACATCTTCTTCACAAGCAAAACGTGGGCGTGACTGAGATCAACACTCTTCTTCACCACCATCATCGAATTAAGCTTCAACCGCGTGGACATGACTTCGAGATGAGTGAAATTGCAGATTTTATTGCAGATATACTGACTCGCAAATCTGGGAGGTTCACCCTCGCCGCCCCTGAGAGAGGATCACCCTTGCCAATCTGGGCGAGGGCCGCCCTCGCTGATCTGCACAAGGAGTGGCTGCGACTTTCCAATTTTCGCATATGATTTTACTGAAAATCACTTCCTTGCTTTGGCGAATCTCCAATCTGGATTTAAATACTTGGAAATGGCAATGTTGCTTTTGCGAGCATTGATTTGCACAAGGAGTGGTCTCTTTGTTAAACTCTGGTCTCCCCCACAAAAATACAAAGTGATATTGTCAGTGAAAGAGAGAAGGTGAAGAAGGAGAAGAAGAAGACGATGGTGGTGGTGTTGGGAATTAGGTTTGCGTTGTGGGGTTGCGTGGTCGCACTTCCCCCTCTCTCTCCTTCTCTCTCTCTCGCGTCCCGACATACACATATCATCAACATACGAGAGAGGTTGGGGAAAGGTGCGCGCAAAATATTAATCAAATTATATGATTAAACTGACCTCATTTCTCAAGAAGCTTATGTCCCATATTAATAAATAAATAAATAAAAGACTCGTCGGGGGGTTTTCATTAAACTAATGTAAAAATGGGAGAGCTCCAACCTTGACCGCAATTTCCGTCGCCTTCCCTCTATTTATTTTCCTAGGGCTCCAGATGTGCCCATTCACGACTGTCTATTATCAACTGGATATGATTTTATCTTGTGAAGGCCGTTTGCATGGTGCGGATAATCTTATTAAGGTTATCCAATTCTATATCATAATTTATTCTGACTCTATTTCTTAGGACATGCCCATTCCACCAGGTTACGTTTGCTCTTCTTCTTGCAGCTAAAAAAGCTCAAAAGGTCTATGCACCTTTTTATTATAATGCCCAAAGATTTACTCTCAACCTTCTCATATTGTGAGTTATAAACCAGTGGAACTCCCTACTACCATTTCCAGCCATCTATCTTTGACTAACTATTACGTTGTATTTTATGAGGCCATCTTAGAATATCTTGATCAGTTGAGTCCTTACAAAAGTCCAGTTTTATCCAAACATGAATTGTTAAGTCTCCACTGATATTTTTATAATTAAATGAAAAAAATAGGGAATAGAAATTTTTAGGGTCGTACCAAACGCATTTATGTTCTTTTTCTATTCTTGGAATAAAAATTTTATGCAATTACCAAACACGTTCTTCTACTAAGAAACTCGTCTAGGAAATAGAAATAGAAAAGACAATTTTTGGACATAAATTATTCCCAAGAACAGAAATGTGCCAAACGCACCCTTATAATTTTATTGAGCAAGAAGTTCATTTACTGAGAGTGATTCGCTATCTGTATTCTCTTTTGAGAAGTATGCAGATGTCATAGTAGTACTTGGAATTTGGTAACATGATATATCAATTTTGAGAAGAAGCAGCACGGGCTACGTTGTAACCTCTCATGGAATTTTTAGTGAAATCGAGCCCGTTTGTTAGTCTAGGACAGTGGAAGTTATTGGAGCTAGCGATACAAGCTAGAGGGGGATTGAATAGGCTTTTTTTTTTTTTAACTCCAAACAAATATTTTCGCGGAAGACTATAACAATAGTTTGACAGTGATGAGTAGCAAATCAATGGTGACAAGTGTAAGAGTTGATGACAAGTAGATATTGTAGATAAAAGCTGATAGAGGCAATAATGAGAAGATATAGAAGATTGCACAGGGATTTATAGAGGTTCGGCTTTATCCCTAAGCCTACGTCCTCTCTCCAAGGTAACGACCTCAACACTGGCTAAATTCCACTAGTAATCTTCAAGCTAAGTTATAATAAGCACGTACTCTTCCTATGAAATGATAGATCACGCTATCAGGACATGAGTACTGCTACCACACTCATACACTTTCTTTTTAACACAATTGCAAAGTAGCAGGAATATTGCACAAAGAACTTTCAGACGAATAGATGTACAATATTATCAAAAAGAAAGAATAATGAACAATGCTAGTATTTCTCTATTTTCTGCTCAACCCTTTTTAGCTTCTTTGATCCTTTTTTATATAGACATCTCAAATCCATCTATTAGAAACTCTTTTGAGACGCAAGGAGACATTAGTGGTTGATTGGAGTAGTTACCAGGGTTAGAACCGCTTATATAATCCGTTCTATAAGCAATTTTAAGGTTTTCCCAAAATGGAGTATGTTGATGCTATCACGTATACTGCTCCTCTGAAAATCTGTCAACTGTTTTCTTACATGTTCTCGGTTCTCCTGATGTGGTTTTCTCAACATGTTAATGGTTATAGTCCTAGTGACAAATGGTTATCTTCAGACAACACATTCACCAGCATCTCTTAAAACTCGATATCAGCACGATACAAAGCTTTTGATCACTAGATATCAACACATGCATATAATTATCAATTTGTTGATGTTGTCCATGTTTGAACCGTGCGAAATGATTTGTGATCAATCATCCAATGGTCTTTCTAAGTATGTTAGCTTCCAAAGACTTCTCGTTGACGAATATTGACTATGGTACCACCAAGTCTTCATGATATCCTCATCATATTAGACTTATTCACCTCCTGTCGATCATCGTTAGTCTTCACTAAACTCTCAAAGATCTAAACTCTCAAGGATCATTGATGTTACCATAGTCTTTCTCAAGCTTACCACGAACATCTACACTTATCATTAAGATATTAGTACCGGGGATAGTTTTAGAATCATCAAAATTTCATAGGGATGTTTTCACAATAGACGTAGGTTTGATATAAGTCG